TTATTCAATTTGTTGGCATATAATTGTGCATAATCATCTCTAATGATCCTTCTTATTTCTCAGGCATCTATTGTAATTTGTTTAACTTCCATTTTTGATTTTATTTATTTGAGTCTTTTCTCCTTTTTTCTTAGTTAGACAAGCTAAGGGTGAGTTGATTTTGTTTATTTTTTCAAAAAACCAACTCAGTTTTATTGATTATTTATGTGTTTTTCTGTTATATATTTGGTTTATGTCTGTTCTGATTTTTATTATTTCCTTCTGCTAATTTTGGGGTTAGTTTGTTCTTTTTCTAGTTTCTTGCAGAGTTAGACTATCTATTTGAACTCTTTCTTCCTTTTTCATATAGGTATTTATTGGTATAAACTTCCCTCTTAGAACTACCTTTGCTGACTTCCATAGGTTTTGGAATATTTGCATTTGTCTTGTCATGGATGAGGGAACACATTTTTCAAATGCATAAAAGGCTTTTGTGTCCCTTCTTCTGTGAACTGTTATTTTCCCATTTTCTATTAGATTTTTTGGTCATTCCAGCCCTCCCCCCCCCCACTTTCCAACTGTAAATTTTACTTCAGGGAATTATTATTTTGCTATGATATGAATATCAACTATTCTTATTTTTCTATGTCTTTGTCTATTATAATTTTTTGCCATGCATAAATTAAAGTTTTATGTAGTGGAATTTATCACTCTTTTGTATTATGATCAGTGAATTTTGAGTGGCAGTTAGAAAGACTTTCTCTCCTCCCTCCTCTCTAGGATTATAAATGAATTTGCTCACATTTTATTCCAATACTTTGAGAGTCTGATTTTTTTTCCACATTTTAATCTTATATTCATTTGTAGCTCAGTGCCCTCTTAACTACCAGATCAAAAAACTATGGACCAGTAGATTTCAAATACTTCTCCCTAAATTAGACATTTAAAAAAATATAATCTTATTCTGTATTTATATACAGAATATTCTATATTTATATACAGATGGATGGAAGGAAAGCTGCCCTGAAGGTGCAGCAGAGACCCCCGGTGACTCTTGCCCTCCCAAAGACGTCATGGCTTGCATGGAATCCTTAGGATTGTTATAGGTAGAGTGAAGACTGCAGATATTTGCAGAACAACAAATAGACCAAAAAGTTTGATGAGAAAAAAGTTATCAATAAAAGAAGAATGTTTCTGGTTGTCTTGGTGTTCACCAATGAGTGTTTGCTGAGCAGGAGATAGATATGAGCGGAGAGGGTTCACATTCCAGCATGGGCTCACCTTTCTTTTTCTTTTCTTTTTTTTTTTTGGAGACAGAGTCTCACTTTGTTGCCCAGGCTAGAGTGAGTGCTGTTGTGTCAGCCTATCTCACAGCAACCTCAAACTTGTGGGCTCAAGTGATCCTCCTGCCTCAGCCTCCCCAGTAGCTGGGACTACAGGCATGTGCCACCATGCCCGGCTAATTTTTTCTCTATATATATTAGTTGGCTAATTAATTTCTTTCTATTTATAGTAGAGACGGGGTCTCGCTCTTGCTCAGGCTGGTTTGAACTCCTGACCTCGAGCAATCCGCCCGTCTTGGCCTCCCAGAGTGCTAGGATTACAGGCGTGAGCCACCGCGCCTGGCCGGGCTCACCTTTCTTACTGACAGTTCCCTTTTGCTAAGTTTATGTGTTTAATTGAAAATTCCTCATAATCATACTATGTTCTGACTGGTACCATGGAGAAAGCATGGACCTTGATATCACACATGAGTTCCAGCTGTGCAACCTCAGGAAAGTCATTTCTATTTAAGAATTATTAGTTCATTCATAGCAAATTTGTTTGGGTGCTTTGTAATAGTGAAAGACACTATCCTAAGTGCTGGGGATATAAAGGTGAAGAAGGCTGGGCGAGGTGGCTCACGCCTGCACTCCTAGAACTCTGGGAAGCTGAGGCGGGCGGATAGCTTGAGGTCAGGAGCTCGAAACCAGCCTGAGCAAAAGTGAGACCCCGTCTCTACTACAAATAGAAAGAAATTAATTGGCCAACATAATATGCATAGAAAAAATTAGCCGGGCATGGTGGCGCATGCCTGTAGTCCCAGCTACTCAGGAGGGTGAGGATTGCTTGAGCCCAGGAGTTTGAAGTTGCTGTAAGCTAGGCTGACACTGCAGCACTCACTCTAGCCTGGGCAACAAAGTGAGACTCTGTCTCCAAAAAAAAAAGGGTGAAGAAGACAGAAATGGTATTACCTTATAATACAGAGGCAGAGCCAGATGGTAAACAAATAATTATAACAATTATTTAGATTATTATTGTTATAACATCTTCAAAGGGGCATAGGGGTCTGTGAAAGTGAAGAGCAAGGAGGTTCAGGCTTGGTAGTTTAGGGAAACTAAAGCAATTAGGTTCAGATTTGACAGGTGTGTAGGAATTGGCATGGCAGAGGAAGACCAGAGCCTTTTAGGCAAAACGAGGAGCAAATGAGGAGCAGGGCACATTTGACAACCAAAAGGAAGGCCAATATGGAAAGCATAAACATCACCAGAATATCTGGATTATATGTGTGTGGTGGGTGAGGGGCAAGACTGGATTAGGAGACCTGGGTTGAGGTTCCTAGTAGTCTGGGCAAAAGACATTAGTGGCCTGGAAAACAGTGATGGCAGTGGACAGACAGTGGGTAGATTGGTAAGAGACACAAAAGTGTTCATGAAAATTCCCAGGTTTCTGCATAAGTTACCATCAGGTGGATGTCAGTGCCACTACTGAGATGGAGAATTCAAATAGGAGCAAGTTTGGGAGAATAAATATTTAGATGGATGCACATCTCCAAGTGTAGACAACAAGCAGGCAGTGTACTAGGGCTAAGGTAGGAACATCACAGAGATGTCCAGCCAGATATAAAATCCAAACCACAGGTGCAGTAAGATGGTCAGGAAGATGGTGAAGCAATGTGGCCAATGTCTTCTCTTGGTACAGTCCCAGTCAGAGGCCCAATATTCTATTATAAATCCTAAACTAGATTTAGCATCTAGTTTATCTTATTCCAAGTGTTGACAGCAATAGTCTTAGCAATAATGTCTTCCCCAAGCCAAGCTTTCTTTTCTTTTCTTTTTTTTTTTCATTTTTTCAACTATTGCAGAGTGGACATCTATCTATTAAGCATTTGTGACTTTAGGCACTGGAATTCAAGATGATTGTCAACAGAAAAAAGCCAAACTCTGTAAAATAATTTCAAAGAGAGCCAAATTTCAGGACCATGACCCGGAGCCATGCTCAAGAAGCCTTGAGCAAGTGGTTTCTCTGTAGCTCGGTTATAGTTTGGTTTTATACATTTCAGGGAGACAGGGGTTACAGGTAAAGTCATACATAAATCAATATGTGGGAGGCGTACATTGGTTTGGCCTGAAAAGGTGGGCCATTTCAAAGTGGTAGGGCTTACAGGTTATAGGTGGGTTTAAAGGCTGAAGAAGTTTTGTTTAAAGGCTTGGAATCTTTAACCATTTTGGTCTGGTGCTCATTGGCTGCGAAACCTTGCCCACAACCAGCACTCAGAGTCCGCAGGATAGTTTGTGCTGTGGATTGAGGACGAATCCGTTTTGCTCTTGTGCGATGAGGAAAGCTTTACAGCACTGAAAGCTTGTTTTACTTTATAGGCAGCTTTACTTGTAATGTAAATCAGAATAGGTAACATATACATATGTGTTTTTATTACGTTATTTTTAAATGTTCACAATTTTATTTTGATAAATGAAAAATTAGAAAAGTTCTATCATGGCTGTCTGCTGTGGACTATAGTCAACATTCCACTAGAGTGGTTAAAGATAAAGTCTGTTAGTCACATTGAGACAAGCCACCTGACATGCATTTGTTGTGTAAATCAAGGACCTGCAGGTTTGTCTTGCATATTAGGCTTGTTAATGGCTTACAAAGGATGTCCCCAAGAAGGGAAAGGGCATGATGAGGCATGTCTGACCTCCCTCCTCATGGCAGACAATTTAGTTTTAGGATATTCCTTTGGCCAAGAGGGGGTCCAATCAGTCAATTGGTAGGGGTGAGCCTTAGATTTTTAGTTAACATGATGGAAGAATAGGGATGAGGGAGGAGAGAAAAACTTAAAATGAATCAGCTGAAAGACAATGTATTCTTACAGAGGCACAAAAAAGTGCTTTTGAAGAAGACTAACCTCCATTCCTGCGTACTTTTGAGAGTACAACTTTCTGAGAATCCTTTCTTCCTCCCTAGTCACACTTTTTCAACTTGTTTAAATTATTATTTTAGTTTTTTCTACAGTAGACATCTTTACAGAACCTTCCTATCCAGTTAGACTTTGTAACCTAATCCAGTTTCTGCTGAGTCCCGGCTCTCCTTCCTACTGGTTTGGTTTTAAGCCCACTCCCAAAGTGTGGGGCAGCCCAGCAGTCCCACTTGAGCGGTCCAAGGAAGGGCGCCCAACCGGGCTCTCAGTCGCCAGACCGTGGGCTCCTTAGAAACTGGCCCGGTCAGACCTACAGCACCAGAAATCCACTCCTCAGTGTTGTTTAACAAGCCGTGATTTTGAAGTCTCTCACATTTGAAAATCTCTGCTCTGCACTGCAGACTTAAAGGTTACCCCGTTCCCCACCCCCAAAAGGCGAGGAGGAAATAACACTGCTCTTTCTCTGGGTTACCAAGAGCTACAACCACTCCTTATGTAATGATTTGAATTTGTAGCCTACTTCTGGTTTTCACTTCATTTTCATTGAAGGTCAGCTGTTGCCTGATAACATAAATGACACAGTAACTCAAGTCGAAAGACAACACTCAAAGGCCAGTCCCAACCGAGCAGGCGGCCCAACCGACTCTGCCCGCCTCTACTGCAGCTTGGAGACTGCGGCCCGGAGGCGGAAGCCCCAGCCGCAGCGCCACGCCCCTTCCGGGCTCGCAGCCCGCCTAGGCACGCCCGCGAGCGGCCGGAAAGCCCCGCCCCGCTCCCGAGCGCCAGCCAATCGCAGCGCGCGGTGGGGCGCGCCGAGGGGCACTGCGGCGACCTGCGGGGCGGCGCGCCGGGAGATGGCCAGCGGCGGCGGCGCCCGCGGCTCCAAGGTAGTCTGTGGGGCGGGAACCACGCGGTTTTCCGCGGGGCAGCTGCCCGGCGCGCCTCGCTCGGTCCCCTCCCCGTCCGGAGGCCGGCGTGGCGTTGCGCCTAGGGGCCAGGCGGCGGCCGGTCGGGTCTGCGCGCGTGCACCGCGCTCGCGTTGCCGGGTGCCGCCCCGGGTCGGTCTCCTGTCCCAGGTGTGGGTTGAGCCCGCCGCGGCCGTCGGGGTCGCGCCTCCTGGTCCGCGGCAGGTGCGGAGCCCCTATCCCGGAAAGGGCGAGGGGTGGCGGCCGTAGGGCAGACGAAGTGGGCGGCTGGGAGTTGAGTCTGGAACTAGCGTGTGAGGTGTATCTGCCCCAGCTGGTGCCTGGCAGCTCTTTTATTTGTCTGTTTTTGACTTTGTCGTGTAATGCACCGAGACAGGAGTGTATATGGGAATTGCTTGCCAGTTTTTCCCCCGGTGTCTCTGTTGCCACACTTTCCACTCTACAGCAGGAGAGGAGTTTGAGGCTAACTGCTCTCAGCCTGAGTATGTGTATCTGCACCTACCTCAGTGTCTAGACAGGGAGTAGGTGTATAGCAGCTGTTGCATGAATATTTAAATTGCACCTGTGTTAATGACTATATCCCCTTTGTTCTTCTGTTAATTGTGCTTGTCTAGCGTGTGCCCGTTTTCTTTTTAAAGTTCCTTGCTTACAATTATGTTTGATCATACCAAAACAGTTTCATGAAACGTGCTGCATCTTCTCCTGACTCCTCTTCCTTTTACTCAGAAACATCCTGAAAAAATAGCCTATACCTGACTCAGATACCATTGATTGTCAGAGCACACCATCAATTTTGTAACTGATTTTAGGAAATAAAAGAAACCACGTGCCAAGCTTACCTATTGATTGTAAGACACATTCCGATTTCAGAAATGGTAAGAAAATCAAGGAGGCATATGAAATTGCTAAATCCAGTATAAGTTGTTTACTTGGTCACTGCAGCATTTGACACATTTGCCACCTGCTTTTATTTCTTTTGGAACATCCCTGATGTTGCGGTCCAGATTCCCTTCCTGTCTCACAACTGCTTATTTTCTTTTGTTTACTGTCTTCCTGCCATACTCTAAATTTGACCTTGTGCTTTTCTCACTTTACTAGTTTGCTGTGGACAGTCTCATATATTGACGTTAACTGTCTCTGCTCGCGTTAGAAGACTTTCAGATCTCTATTTGACTATCCCATGAGCTCAGTTAAACTCAGTATGTCATTAAATCATTCTCTCACCCTTAGTCTACCAGGCTCTAACAGTTCCTCCTCACTTAGAAATATTAGTATTTTTGAAGTAGTAATATTTTTGAAGTATTAGTATTTTTGAAGAAGTATTCACTTTTGCTCTCTTCATTCTGCCATTTTTATGTCATTGACCCTATCAATTTTTCTTAGTAGTTGTAATTAGTTATCTATTGTTGTGTGTTAGGTTGCATCGAAACTGAAGCAGCTCACAAATGTTTATCTCATAGTTTCTGAGGGCCAGGAATCTGGGAATGTCCCAACTGTGTGGGTATAGGTTAGGGTCTCCCACAAGGTTGCAGTCAAATAAAGGGCTGTTGGAGCTGGAGGATCCACTTCCAATCTTACTCATGTGGTTGTTGTCAAGTCTCTGTTCCTTGAAGTTTCCATAGGGCAGCTCACAACATAGTAGCTGGCTTTCCCAAGAAGAAGAGAGAGGGAGCAACCAAGACAGAGGCTCCCAGTGTCTTTTATAATCCAATCTCAGAAGTGACATACCATCTTCTGTCCTATTCTGCTCATCATATAGACCAACCTGGTACAAGGTGGGTGGATACCATAGAGGGTATACTGCCAAGAGGCAGGGATCATGAGGGCTATCGTGGAGGTCGGCTGCCATAATAGTTTTTCTCTATGGATTTATTTTTCACTTCTATCACCCTAGGTGACAGAACTACTTCATGCTTTGAGTGTTTATATGTGGTATTAGTTAGCATGCTCCCATTCCTTCTTCTGAGATGATTTTCATTTAGGCACCACTTTTGTTATATTGTTATTCGTCTGCTTAAACCTCATTTTACTTCTGAATGACTATATAATACTTTATTTCAGGTGTATCCTATGTAAGTGCTTTATATGTGTTAACTCAGTTAGTTCCTTTAAATCCTGTGAGGTAGATACTATTGGTCTTATTTTATGGATGAGGACACTGAGGTTCAAGCAGAGAGGTTAAGTGATTTGCCTAAGGTCACACAGTACACAGCAGTTAAGTGAAGAAGCTAGGATTTGTACCCAGATCGTCTGCTCCAGACCTTTAGTTCAGACTCACAGCCTGTTGTTCACTGCTTCCATATTTTCCATGCCTTCTTCCTTAACTTTATATCTTTGTTCAGTATTTACCTTCTAGGTAAACTAGACTATTGTTGTCACTATACTGTCTTCCCTCTTGGTATTTGGTCATGTTCTTAGTTTGGAATAATGCCATTTCTCCCATTTCTACTTATTGAAATCTTAATCATACATCAAGGCTCACCTCAAATCCCACTGTTGCCCAAATCATCCCAGTTATAAATGAATTGTTTTGCGTATTCTTGTGGAGTTTTGTCTCAGTCGCTCTTACTATTTTATGTCTTGTATTAGGTTTATTTGTCTGTACCTTTATTCCCATATAATGTAGATGTTTTAAGATTAGGGACTATCTGTCTCCACCACATGTCCCCAGAGAACCTGCCATAATCCCTTGTATGTGTTAGACACCTAATAAACATCTGATGAATGAATGAAAGGGGAACTAATTTAGAAGATTTACAAGTATTCCAGGTTTAAAGAAACACGGGGAAGTACCCTGGTCATAAGTCTTGGGTATTAGCCAGCCTCAGCTCTATAAGTAACTAATTTTGCAGTTTTGGACAAGCCACATAGATCTTTCTGGACTTGTAAAATGAAAGTTGATGTGGTTATGGACTAAAGTGGTAGAATTTGGAATAGTATGCAAAGGATTGAGTTGATAGATTATAAAAAGATGAGATTTAAGGCAACTTAAATTGGAAGACTGAAGAAGAGAGAATCAATTGTGACTCAGAAGTTGAACTTGTAAGAATGAGGAAGGTTAAGGACAGTTGGTTGCATCTTATTTGATATTAGGATACACAGATATGTGACATTTAAGCCACAGGGCGAGATTAAGGCTGGGAGTATCTTAGTTCTTCTCTTGCCCCCCCTCTCCTCCAGAGGCAGCTCCTGCTCTATCTCCTTCACTGTCTGTTAACATGCTGTGATTCTTTTTTCCCCTGTATGCTTTATACTCTCCCTTTCCTTGCTAAAAGTAGCTGAGAATGAACACCTATACTTCCTTTCATGGCCAGCTGCTTGCCTTTTGAGATTTCCTTATGCCTGCCTTACTCTCGCCATTCCTTTTGCCTCCTTAGACTGAATTATAGCTCCTAACTCCTCCCCACCCTCTCCACCTTCCCCTTCTGTCCACTCTTTTCCCACTGAAAGAAAAACTGCATCTTGGCAAGATCATGAAAGAGAAATAAAGCTGACACTTCCCTTCTCTAACCCTTTGGGTCCTCATCACCAAAACTTATTCTATTTCTAGTGCTCCTTGTGTTAAGACAAGCACAAGGTCGGTATTAAATACAATGTATAATACATATCAGTTTCAATTGAAGAGTACTCAAGGCTGTAGCCTGAAATTAAAAGTGTTCTCTTTTTCAAGAAAGGGAAATATTTTGCTTCTTTGAAGCAGGAGAGAAGGAGCCAATGAAGAGAGTAAGGACCTTTAACCGTCCTAGAAGAACTGGATTTCATTACAGAGTGAGGTTACTTTTCCTCTGAGATGGTAGGGAAGAAGGAGAGTTCAGTAAATGGGAGGTTGGCTGATTTTTGCTATGGTTAATTTTTTTCCCTTGGGGAAGATGTGACAACTTGATCTATGTGGCTGATATGGAGATGTAAACAGAGGGGTAAATGTGGAGCTCATTTTATGTGATTTCACGTGGTGTGTGTGTGTGTGTGTCTGTGAGTAGAGAACTAGGAAATGAGTAAGAGTATTCACCAGCTGTGACCAAGGACATGTAATGAGAATATACATGGGAGCTACTCTTATTTTCAGGTCTTTTTACATTTTACAGTAGCCCAATGGATTGGTGGTTGGTAAAGTAAGCTGGCAGAGGGTAGGGGTCTTAGTGCTTGAAAGACAACACTGAAGTAGTTGGCCATAGAGTACAAGATGACAGGAGAGATGTTATGATTGGGAGGGGGCTAGTGACTGATAAAGTGAGTGGATGTGGAACTTAAAAGTCCCAGTGAATTCCCAGGTACTTAGAGCCCAATCAGGCACTCACTTGTGATGCCTGTGTGTGAGAGGTGCTCATATAGTTATTTGATAGATACTTTTATTAAAGTGAGATAATGGAGGACCTTCAGTTTGGAATTAGACATCCATGGAGGAAAGTGTTTGCACATTGCCTACTAGCTGTTTGACTAGGGCAATATACCTAACATTTCTAAGTTATAGTTTCTTTGTAAAATGAGATTAATACTTTTCTTTCCAGGTTAGTATGAGGATTAAATGATAAGAATGTCTGGGGTAGTATGCTGAGCACATAAGCACTTGATAAATGTTAATGATAATGAAAGCAATTAATAGTAAAATACAATGATAATGAAATAAGTTATATAAGGACAAAGATACTGTACATCCTCTATAATTTTGCCTCTAGGTTTCCTTGGAATTGCCTTCTTTCAGCTTATTGAACAAGGAATAGGAAGAGGGCTTAGTTTTAAAGTTGTTCAGTGATGGCAGGAAATTCTTTCATGGTTATCTTGGTAGGCGTACTTTATGTTTCCAGTTTAAGGTCTTGGTAATCTCATTGAATGATTTACTGGTGACTCTACTCAGAATTAGACTACCTAATACTGACATTTCATTCTAGAAGTTGTCTTATCTTTACAATGGAAGGGAAAGAACTATTGTTGAAGACTTCTTATATGTCAGGTGTTTCACA